CGTGATGTTCAGCATTTTCCATGTGCCTATTAACTCATACTGGAAGTACTCTTTCTAGTCTGGTTCTTTAAGTTGAAAAACTTTCAAGTTCTTGCAATCATCAATAACATGTTCCATTTTCTTGTTGAATAGTATTCTCTCGGATGGATGCACCATTTGTATATTGGTTTACCATTTGAATAACATTTGAGTTCTTGCCAGTTTGGGGCTATTATTAATAGAGCCACAGTAAACATTGGCATGAAGCATTTTATGTGAAGAGAAATTCATGTTTTACGCGGGAGTTATTTTCGGAATGGGATTACAAAGTTTTCCAGTGTGCAGATATTTATGAGCAATGAAAAACATTTCCCAAAATGTCTTTATCATTTTGCCTTCTGATGAGTCATTGAGGAGAGTTTCAGTTTCTCTCTTTTCCTGAGAGTTGTTTATGTTCTCAGTTATTTTATTTCTTTTATCCAAGATACAGTTTGCATACTTAATATGCATTCGGTACTAATTACTAATTATTTTATTTAATTTTAGGTGTTTATGAGTCACCTGTACAACGTATGTCCTATCTATGTCAAGCAATTGCTATTCAAATATTTTCCCACATTTAATTGGATTATTTGTTCTCTTACTAGTGAGTTTCAGAGCTCTTATGTATTATGGTTATAATATATTTTGTATGAATATTGATGTGTATGTGTGGGTGTTTGTGTGTATGTAAAATATATCTGTATTTGCATAACCAGCTGAAGAGAGAAAACTATTCTGTAACCTTGAAGGAATTCCCTAATACCACAGTGTTATATTCTTTGTCCATAATCCCTTATGACTACTGATTTCTTTTCCGTGTCTCTAATTTTTTCATTTTGAGAATAATATGTATGTGGAATCATAAAGTACATGTCGTTTTAAGATTGGCCTCCGTTTTACTTTGGCATGCACTTGAGATTCATCCAAGTTGTTACATGTATTAATATTTTCTTCCATTTTTGATGATAAATATTACTGGTATGGTTAACTGTGTTACAGGTATGGTGGTATGGTTATGTAACTATGGTTAAAACCACAGTTGAACCATTCACTCATTGAAGGACCTCTAGCCTCTCTACATTTTTAGCTATGACAAGCAAAGTTTCAATGAAAATTCATGTAAAAGCTCTTATGTTCATTTCTCTAAAATCAATATGCAGGAATATAATTTCTGGGTCAAATGATACTTGCATGTTTATAGCATGTTGTATAAGAAAGTGTCAAATTGTTTTTCAGGAGAGCTGTACCATTTTATACTCTCACAAGAAATGTATGAATAATCCAGTTTCTCTGCATCCTTGCCACCTTATTGTGTGGTCATGTTTTAACAAGGTGTAGCCACTTTGACAGATAGAGAGCAGTTAGAACTCTTGATAGTTTCCCTGTGCATTTCCGTCATAGCCAATATGCTCAGCATCTTTGCCTGTGCTTCTTGGCCATTGCTGTGACTTCGTTGGCCAAGTGTTTGTTCAAGTCTTTCAATGATCTTGATCATTTTCTATTGAGTGTCTCTTTTCACCTGATGACTTTGAGATTTTTCAATAAGTGTTTTTCATTCCCAGTGAGTTTCCATGCAATTATATTTGTTGGAGTTTTGCACATGTCAAATTATTAATATTTTATGTTTATGCATTCTGACACAATGGATTTAGCCTAAATTTGAGGAACATTAGTTTCTGCATTTCTTTCTTCTAGAACTATAAGCTATTTTTACTTTTTCTATGTACGTTTGCTTTTCCATATATATGCCAATATATACATGTATAAGTTTCTCTGTGTAAGTCAGGATAGTATACAAAGGCCACATCCTATATATAGGATACATCAATAGAAAAGATTCTACTTGTTTTGCTCTTTGAGAAGGACCCTAGCTCTGAAAAATAATGTTAATAAAGAAATGCAGGGAAGTCGAGTATTGATTTACGGAATAGACAGAGTTTCTTGGTAAGACAGCCATTCAAAAGTCTATCAAGTACTGGTATGGTTGTACAGCTGAATGTAAGCACTTTATTAATCTAAAGCTTTTTTTAAAAAAATTAATGTTTAGGTATGGAGCTTCTATAAATAGGAAAGTATTATCACATATTAAATTAAGAGCTTTGGGGAAATGTTCAATCAGAAAATCATGAAATATACTGACAATGTTGGTATAATTGCAGGTTGGAGCAGACATTCATGAATAATGTATAGAACTGCAGTGTTTAGAAGGTTGGGGATGAGATTTCGGAAAGGATCCATATCATTATTAGTATTGATCTATATAGAAAACTAAATTGTTCATCAGTATTTGTATCAGTGTAATTATAAATAAATTGATGTCTTCAGAAGAAAAAGTTCATGTCTACATTGTATATCACAAACTAGAAATCTGTCTTCCATTTGAGCCATGCTAGCTCGTCGGAAATGAATAGTCTTTTAACGTCAAATAGAATTGAGGACCAGTAAGAAGGGAAAATATTTCATCCTTTGACTTGCTCCATCATGACTGAGGACAGATTCTGAAAGTTCTATAGAGATCACAGAAGGAGAACAAATAATTACATAATTTGCATGGAAATTCAAAATCTTTGTAGAGCCAAAGCAATGTTGTGAAAGAAGCATGGAATTGGAGGAACCAAGCTGCCTGACTTCAGGCTATACTACAAAGTTACAGTCATCAAGACAATATGGAACCAGCAGAAAGACAGAAATACAGGTCAGGAACAAAATGGAAAGCCCAGAGATAAATCCACCCACCTATGGACACCTTGTCTTTGACGGAGGAGGCAAGAGTATACAATGGAGAAAAGACAATCTCTTTAACAAGTGGTACTGGGAAAACTGGTCAGCTACTTGGAAAGAATGAGACTAGAAGACTTTCTAACCCCATGTACAAGAATAAACTCAAAACGCATTAAAGATCTAAATGTAAGACCAGAAACTATAAAACTCCTAGAGGAAAACATAGGCAAAAGACTCTTTGACATAAATGGCAGCATCGTCCTCAAGGACCCACCTCCCAGAGGAATGGAAATAAAAGCAAAAAATAAATGAATAGGACCTAATTTAACTTAAAAGCTTTTGCACAACAAAGAAAGTATAAGCAAGATGAAAAGACAGGCTTCAGAATGGGAGAAAATCATAGCAAATGAAGCAATGGACAATGAATTAATCTCAAAAATATGCAAGCAGCCCCTGAAGCTCAATTCCAGAAAAATAAATGATCCATTCAAAAAACGGGCCAAAGAACTAAACAGACAGTTCTCCAAAGAAGACATCCAGATGGCTAACAAACACATGAAAAGATGCTCAACATCACTCATTATCAAAGAAATGCAAATCAAATCCACGATGAAGGACCATCTCACGTTGGTCAGAACGGCTCCTATCAAAAAGTCTACAAAGAATAAGTGCTGGAGAGGAACAGTGTGGAGATTCCTCAGAAATTGGAAATGGAACTTCCCTACAACCCAGGAATCCCGCTGCTGGGCATACACACTAAGGAAACCAGAATTGAAAGAGACGCGAGTACCCCAATATTCATCACAGTACTGTTTATACTAGCCAGGACATGGAAGCAACCTAGATGTCCATGGGCAGACGAATGGATAAGCATCCATGCTTCACATGCACAGTGGAATATTACTCAGCTATTAAAAAGAATGCATTTGCATCAGTTCTAACGAGATGGATGAAGTGGGGGCCTATTTTAGACTGAAGGAAGTTAGAAAGAAAAACACCAATCCAGTATATTAATGCATATAAATGGAATTTAGAAAAATGATAACAATGACCCTATATGTGGGACAGCAAGAGAGACACAAAGGTAAAAACAGACTCTTGGACTCAGTGAGAGAAGGTGACAGTGGGATGATTTGAGCAAATAGCATTGAAACATGTATGTGAAACAGATTTCCACTAGAGCTTGGATGCATGAGGCAGGGTGCTCTGGGCTTTTGCGGTGGGAGGATCCTGAGGGATGGGATGGGGAGGGAGGCGAGAAGGGGGTTCAGGATGGGGAACACATGTACATCCATGGCTAGTTCATGACAAAATATGGCAAAACCACTATAATATTGTAAAGTATTTAGCCTCCAAATGAAATAAATCAATTAAAATGAAAGAACTTAAAAAAAAGAAAAACAGGCAGCACACCCAGGGGTCTTTCACTCATACATTTTAAATCACATTCAGTGACTGACTTTGAATCATCAGTGGGGTCACCCAGTCATTAGAGTGCCAGAAAATGTGAATCAGGCAGCTGCAGTCCAGATCAAAGATGACATATCATTGAGTTCCAATTTGAACACAACTCTTTGGATGCTGATAGTGAAACTCTGTGTTCTGGTTGCTTCTAAATAGTTTTCTGAAGACACCCAGGATTCTCATCATCAGAACCTCTGCCTTATATATCTCCATATTTGTTTAAATTCTCCTTGAGATTTTTAAAACATTTCAACCTGAAAGTTAACACCAAATTTGATATTGCATTCTCTTTATTTTAAACCATGATAAACTTCTAGAATTTGGACTCACAAAAGACTTTATTTATCCATCATCAGTGCAGACTCTTAACCCACTCCACACCTCTACTCTCTGGCTAACTGGGGACCCGAGGGTCTGTTCCCCAACTTCTCAGGACCACATACCCCTCCCGTTTCCAGTGCCCACCTCTTCTCTTCTTTCTCTCCCTTCCATCAGAAAACTCACACACACACAAATACCATCTTTTCACCCTTTGAGATTTCTTTTATTTGCAGCCATCACCTTACTATGTTAGTGTGAGAGTCTTTTTTGGTTGGCCATTGCTAACAAAGCAGACCCCTGGAGACACAATTCTAAACTGTCTGACCTTTGCTATTCATTAACTGGCTGCCAACATTGTACTTCTCCAGGGTCTCTTATTTTGGGGCGGCTGAGCTTATTTTCTCTTTGGATTCTGCCTCCTTCCATGACGTTGCCTCATATTTTGGTAGCTTTTTCAGCTTTGATTTGATTTCTTACGTCCACAGCCAGAGAAGAATCGGTTTGCTTTTCTTGTTTTCTTTGGCTTCGTCGATTGAGTGGCATACGATCGGATTTTCTTTCTGAAGGTCCCTTGTAGAGGTCTTCTGACCCTCATGGTCATATTTCGTGCCTGGAAGACAAGACAAGGGTATCAGTTTGGAGGAAAGGCCATAAAAACTGAGGTGGAAGGGAGATTTCATGAGAAAGAAATGTGAGCTAATGGGGACATTTGTGCCAGGCATGGGCAGGGTAGAGGTCTTGGGCAGCAAAGTCAAAGCAGAACATGGGAAGCTTAGTTGGAATCCTCTTACCTTCACACCACGTCTGCCCCTCTTTGACAAAGGGTCTTCTTCATTCCATTCTTCCTTGAAGCAAACCGAATTGCACCTCTTCTTGACGGCCGTGGCTTCCTGGTTGCCTTAGTCATGATGGTGCCAAGAAGTGGCCTAACCCAGACTTTCAGCCTCTGACCTCCCTATTTATACCCTTTGAGGACAATGAAGAGCCACACCCTTCAATCTGATTGGTCTGTTAGGCACTGCCCCAGCCAATAGTAGCTTGTGGGGCTTAGACATCACAATGCACCACTGTGACCATCAACATGGGCTAGTGGATGCTGAGGGATACCGTGAAATATCTTTCCCACTGCTGACATGTCTGTGTGCCCGATTCTGGGGAGTGGTGATTCAGGGGCCTGGTGCTTCTCCTCATGACCTTAAAACTTCCTTTGCGTTCCCTTTATCCTTTGACTTATATGTGCCACTTCATCCGTCATGCCTCTTTCATCCCTCTAGGTACATCTGCCAAACATTTTCTGTCCCAATTCATCCCTTCAGAGTCCTCTAAGCACTTCATCTCTAGATCACCTTCTGCCTCTTGGGGATTCCTGAGGGGCTTAAGGAACTTAAGAGAAAGCACTTAAAGTGGACAAAGGTAATGAAGAGCAGGTTGGATGTTTTATCTACTGTTGTGAGCTTCAGCGACCCCCAGACTTGGTGAATCCTCAGTCTGTTGCCCAAAGGTCAATATACAGTCTCCATAAGAGTACACATCAGAGCAAAGACAGTTTTAAATGTCTCCTCCACTAAATGTTTTGGGGACACTTCAACTCTCATATTGAGTAGGGAAACTCAACTTGCCCCATTTAGCAGAAAAAAATTCCTGACTTTTGCTTTGTACAAGAGGAAGGTGCTCAAAGTCAAGAATCAGTTCACCACTGCATCGCTGACTCTTGACCGAATCAATTCCCCAGTCACCCCTCCTTGACCGTTATCAGTAGGTAGGGCCCATTGCAGTGCTGACCAATAGCTGGGCAGTGCAAGTACCTTTAGGTAGCTCATTGATAGGTGGTTGCTTGTTGGTGGGGCCAGTGAGGCACTGACCAATGGCTGAGCAAGTCCTGTTGCCTAGTAACAGGAGGCGGAGTAATAAGGCACAGCAATGGCTACCTGGGCAGGGCTCTGCCCATGTTGCTCTGTTACATAAGAACACTTTGGGTCCAGTGTGCTGGCATCTTTTTGACTGACTCCTTTCCAACCTCAGATTTTTATTTCACATGCTTATTTAACTTTTGCCCATCATTCTTTCCGTTCTCTTATCAGGCATTCCTGTCACCAGCGCTTATCTCTATGCCCCTCCAACAGCTGCCACTTGATCACATGTTCCGCATATAGTATACATAGTTCAAAACCAACAAGAACGTGCCGGCCAGCCCACGTTGAAAACTACTTTGAGAAACCTTAACTTCACAGTGATTCCTTTTCTATTTACAGTGTAACAGAGCAGGATGAGCACAGCCCTGAAGAGGGAGCCTTTGGTGTACTCCATTTCAACCCACCCTGTTCCTAGGCAACAGGTGTTGCTCAACCATTGCTTGGTGCCTCAGAGGGCCCCATCCACAAGCAAACAATTGTAAATGAGTGACTGTTAGCTCTCCTGCTCAGCGATTGGGCAGCACTGCAGTGGGCAATGCCCGCAGGTTACTGTCAGTGAGGGACCTTTGGGGAAGCAATTAAGTCAAGGGTGGTGTGGTGGCACTCAGGGGGAGACTGAGGCAATAGGCAGAGTCAGGCCTTCTTCCGGAGGCCCTGGAGCTCATGCCGACTTGGGCCAGTGGGTGAGCTGGAGGGTCCAGGGAATAGCCTGGGGACTACATGCTGTAGCGCTCTTTTGTTCCTCTTTGCTGTCTGCCTTCAGGGTGGTGTCGCCTGCATATCTGAGGTGATTGATACTTCTCCCGGCAATCTTCCAGCTTGTGCTTCATCCAGTCTTGCATTTCTCATGATGTACTCTGCATAGAAGTTAAATAAGCAGGATGACAACATACAGCCTTAACATATCCCTTTCCCAATTTGGAACCAGTCAGATGTTTCATGTCCGGTTCTAACTCATGCTGCTTTCCCTGCATTCAGAGTTCTCAGGAGGCAGGTAAGAGGGCCTGGTATTCCCATCTCTTGAAGGATTTCCCACAATTTGTTCTGATCCACACAAGACAATGCTTGAGCCTAGTCAGTGAAGCAGATGCTTTTCTGGAATTGTCTTGCTTTTTCTATGATCCAACAGATGCTGTCCATTTGATCTCATGTTCCTCTGCCTTTTCATAGTCAAGCTTGAACATCTGGAAATTCTTGGTTCATTTATTGTTGAAGCCTAGCTTGAAGAATGCTCAGCATATTTTAGGTAGTGTGTGAGATGACCCTATCCTCATAGTCATTTCAAATCAAGCTCCTTCTTACATTAGTATGGATTTGTTTTATTTAATTGCAAAAATGGACATAAATTCTTTGGTGTTATGCTTATTTCCCCCTTCACAGGTACTAATTAACTCCCTGTGTTATTTCAGGCATCGTTGTGAGTGCAAGGCGCACATCAGGAGCCAACAATCAGGACCCTGGTTTCATGGGGCATACATTCTGGTCAGTGAGGATGGAAGGTTCATACTAACCACAAATAGTCAATTATACAGAATAGCGAGAACCGTATGAGTTATGAGAAACGGGGAGTCTTTCCTTCCCAGAGGAAATTGATGGAAGGCCTTATGAATGCAGGACATTTAAGCAAAGACTTAATTAAAGAAAAGAGGGAGTGACTTTGTGGCTCTCTTGGGCAATAAAGACTGGGGAAAGGAAAAGGCCCGGGCAAAAGCCCCCAAAATGCATTATCTATGTTCTTCCAAGAAAACAAGGAGGCTGGTGCAAGTGGGACTAGGTGAGTGAGGATGAGACTCAAAAGTGATGAGCTGCTGATGAGAGAGATCAGGGCAGGAAAAGGAGGAATGTAATGGTAAACTTATCTTTCCATTTACATGATGAATTGATTCACCAGACACAAACCACACTGGGCTGTGGTGGTAAAAGGGAGAGGCATTTGTCATAGTCTGATGGCAAGGAGGTGGGAGAGGAGTACTTTTCAGTAAAGACACCCGAGATGAATCCTGAGCCAGCTAAAGTAGATAGATCAAGTGGAAAGCTGTGAAAATGTTTCCAGACAGTGAGGGAGAACATGCCAAGGCACCGAGACCCAAGAGGCCTGGCTATACATGCCTTGCATATGACTGGAATCTAAGGTATGATGGGAAATTGTGAAGAAACATGGCTTTGGAGGAAGAGGGAGGAACTTGAAGCGACACTTGGGCATATGTTAAGTTAATGTCTGGGTTACCCTGCTTTGAAAGAATATTATTCATATTTTCTAATTGGAAATATACACTCGATGTAAACCAGTATGGAAATTGCAAAACGGAGTAAAAAAATGAAATTAGAGGACACCCATAAGTGTGTCAATAGACATATATACTGTTCATATTCTGCCTTTGTTGTTCTACCTAAACCTTTATAACATATATATTATATGTGTTATATACTGTGAAATATATACATATAATACACATATATTTAGATGAGCCTATGTACATCAGTGTTTTTTTTTTAATTTATACAAATTGAATCAATCTTTATGCTATATTGTAACCTTCCTTTTCTATACCATATGCTGGGAGAATGTTTCCACCTCAACAAACATGTAACTACCAGTATTTCTGAGGATTACTGTGGTGTTCAAATGCTTGCTTATCCCATACTCCATGCAAGTGCTATGAAGACAGGAACCATGTGCATCTTGCTCCCTGGTTGCTTCCATATCTCTTCTATTGTAAGGAAGGATGTAATAAACTTTGGGGTACATGTATCTCTTCAAATTAGTGTTCATTTTCTTCTGATGTTGAGCTTGGTGTGGAATAGCTGGGCCACATGGGAGATCTATTTTTAGTGTTTTTAAGAAACTCCCACATTGTTTTCCACGGTGAGTGCACATATTTACATTCCCACCAGTTATGTACAAGGGTTTCCTTGAGTCCATATCCTTGCCACCATATGTTATTTTCAGATTTTTGGCTTGATGATAGCCATTCTGACAGCTGTGAGGTGATATCTCCCAGTGATTTTCACTTCTCTTTCTCTAATTATTCATGATGTTCAGCATTTTTCCATGTGCCTATTAACTCATACTGGAAGTACTCTTTCTAGTCTGGTTCTTTAAGTTGAAAAACTTTCAAGTTCTTGCAATCATCAATAAAATGTTCCATTTTCTTGTTGAATAGTATTCTCTCGGATGGATGCACCATTGTATATTGGTTTACCATTTGAATAACATTTGAGTTCTTGCCAGTTTGGGGCTATTATTAATAGAGCCACAGTAAACATTGGCATGAAGCATTTTATGTGAAGAGAAATTCATGTTTTACGCGGGAGTTATTTTTGGAATGGGATTACAAAGTTTTCCAGTGTGCAGATATTTATGAGCAATGAAAAACATTTCCCAAAATGTCTTTATCATTTTGCCTTCTGATGAGTCATTGAGGAGAGTTTCAGTTTCTCTCTTTTCCTGAGAGTTGTTTATGTTCTCAGTTATTTTATTTCTTTTATCCAAGATACAGTTTGCATACTTAATATGCATTCGGTACTAATTACTAATTATTTTATTTAATTTTAGGTGTTTATGAGTCACCTGTACAACGTATGTCCTATCTATGTCAAGTAATTGCTATTCAAATATTTTCCCACATTTAATTGGATTATTTGTTCTCTTACTAGTGAGTTTCAGAGCTCTTATGTATTATGGTTATAATATATTTTGTATGAATATTGATGTGTATGTGTGGGTGTTTGTGTGTATGTAAAATATATCTGTATTTGCATAACCAGCTGAAGAGAGAAAACTATTCTGTAACCTTGAAGGAATTCCCTAATACCACAGTGTTATATTCTTTGTCCATAATCCCTTATGACTACTGATTTCTTTTCCGTGTCTCTAATTTTTTCATTTTGAGAATAATATGTATGTGGAATCATAAAGTACATGTCGTTTTAAGATTGGCCTCCGTTTTACTTTGGCATGCACTTGAGATTCATCCAAGTTGTTACATGTATTAATATTTTCTTCCATTTTTGATGATAAATATTACTGGTATGGTTAACTGTGTTACAGGTATGGTGGTATGGTTATGTAACTATGGTTAAAACCACAGTTGAACCATTCACTCATTGAAGGACCTCTAGCCTCTCTACATTTTTAGCTATGACAAGCAAAGTTTCAATGAAAATTCATGTAAAAGCTCTTATGTTCATTTCTCTAAAATCAATATGCAGGAATATAATTTCTGGGTCAAATGATACTTGCATGTTTATAGCATGTTGTATAAGAAAGTGTCAAATTGTTTTTCAGGAGAGCTGTACCATTTTATACTCTCACAAGAAATGTATGAATAATCCAGTTTCTCTGCATCCTTGCCACCTTATTGTGTGGTCATGTTTTAACAAGGTGTAGCCACTTTGACAGATAGAGAGCAGTTAGAACTCTTGATAGTTTCCCTGTGCATTTCCGTCATAGCCAATATGCTCAGCATCTTTGCCTGTGCTTCTTTGCCATTGCTGTGACTTCGTTGGCCAAGTGTTTGTTCAAGTCTTTCAATTATCTTGATCATTTTCTATTGAGTGTCTCTTTTCACCTGATGACTTTTAGATTTTTCAATAAGTGTTTTTCATTCCCAGTGAGTTTCCATGCAATTATATTTGTTGGAGTTTTGCACATGTCAAATTATTAATATTTTATGTTTATGCATTCTGACACAATGGATTTAGCCTAAATTTGAGGAACATTAGTTTCTGCATTTCTTTCTTCTAGAACTATAAGCTATTTTTACTTTTTCTATGTACGTTTGCTTTTCCATATATATGCCAATATATACATGTATAAGTTTCTCTGTGTAAGTCAGGATAGTATACAAAGGCCACATCCTATATATAGGATACATCAATAGAAAAGATTCTACTTGTTTTGCTCTTTGAGAAGGACCCTAGCTCTGAAAAATAATGTTAATAAAGAAATGCAGGGAAGTCGAGTATTGATTTATGGAATAGACAGAGTTTCTTGGTAAGACAGCCATTCAAAAGTCTATCAAGTACTGGTATGGTTGTACAGCTGAATGTAAGCACTTTATTAATCTAAAGCTTTATTTAAAAAAATTAATGTTTAGGTATGGAGCTTCTATAAATAGGAAAGTATTATCACATATTAAATTAAGAGCTTTGGGGAAATGTTCAATCAGAAAATCATGAAATATACTGACAATGTTGGTATAATTGCAGGTTGGAGCAGACATTCATGAATAATGTATAGAACTGCAGTGTTTAGAAGGTTGGGGATGAGATTTCGGAAAGGATCCATATCATTATTAGTATTGATCTATATAGAAAACTAAATTGTTCATCAGTATTTGTATCAGTGTAATTATAAATAAATTGATGTCTTCAGAAGAAAAAGTTCATGTCTACATTATATATCACAAACTAGAAATCTGTCTTCCATTTGAGCCATGCTAGCTCGTCGGAAATGAATAGTCTTTTAACGTCAAATAGAATTGAGGACCAGTAAGAAGGGAAAATATTTCATCCTTTGACTTGCTCCATCATGACTGAGGACAGATTCTGAAAGTTCTATAGAGATCACAGAAGGAGAACAAATAATTACATAATTTGCATGGAAATTCAAAATCTTTGTATAGCCAAAGCAATGTTGTGAAAGAAGCATGGAATTGGAGGAACCAAGCTGCCTGACTTCAGGCTATACTACAAAGTTACAGTCATCAAGACAATATGGAACCAGCAGAAAGACAGAAATACAGGTCAGGAACAAAATGGAAAGCCCAGAGATAAATCCACCCACCTATGGACACCTTGTCTTTGACGGAGGAGGCAAGAGTATACAATGGAGAAAAGACAATCTCTTTAACAAGTGGTACTGGGAAAACTGCTCAGCTACTTGGAAAGAATGAGACTAGAAGACTTTCTAACCCCATGTGCAAGAATAAACTCAAAACGCATTAAAGATCTAAATGTAAGACCAGAAACTATAAAACTCCTAGAGGAAAACATAGGCAAAAGACTCTTTGACATAAATGGCAGCATCGTCCTCAAGGACCCACCTCCCAGAGGAATGGAAATAAAAGCAAAAAATAAATGAATAGGACCTAATTTAACTTAAAAGCTTTTGCACAACAAAGAAAGTATAAGCAAGATGAAAAGACAGGCTTCAGAATGGGAGAAAATCATAGCAAATGAAGCAATGGACAATGAATTAATCTCAAAATTATGCAAGCAGCCCCTGAAGCTCAATTCCAGAAAAATAAATGATCCATTCAAAAAACGGGCCAAAGAACTAAACAGACAGTTCTCCAAAGAAGACATCCAGATGGCTAACAAACACATGAAAAGATGCTCAACATCACTCATTATCAAAGAAATGCAAATCAAATCCACGATGAAGGACCATCTCACGTTGGTCAGAACGGCTCCTATCAAAAAGTCTACAAAGAATAAGTGCTGGAGAGGAACAGTGTGGAGATTCCTCAGAAATTGGAAATGGAACTTCCCTACAACCCAGGAATCCCGCTGCTGGGCATACACACTAAGGAAACCAGAATTGAAAGAGACGCGAGTACCCCAATATTCATCACAGTACTGTTTATACTAGCCAGGACATGGAAGCAACCTAGATGTCCATGGGCAGACGAATGGATAAGCATCCATGCTTCACATGCACAGTGGAATATTACTCAGCTATTAAAAAGAATGCATTTGCATCAGTTCTAACGAGATGGATGAAGTGGGGGCCTATTTTAGACTGAAGGAAGTTAGAAAGAAAAACACCAATCCAGTATATTCATGCATATAAATGGAATTTAGAAAAATGATAACAATGACCCTATATGTGGGACAGCAAGAGAGACACAAAGGTAAAAACAGACTCTTGGACTCAGTGAGAGAAGGTGACAGTGGGATGATTTGAGCAAATAGCATTGAAACATGTATGTGAAACAGATTTCCACTAGAGCTTGGATGCATGAGGCAGGGTGCTCTGGGCTTTTGCGGTGGGAGGATCCTGAGGGATGGGATGGGGAGGGAGGCGAGAAGGGGGTTCAGGATGGGGAACACATGTACATCCATGGCTAGTTCATGACAAAATATGGCAAAACCACTATAATATTGTAAAGTATTTAGCCTCCAAATGAAATAAATCAATTAAAATGAAAGAACTTAAAAAAAAGAAAAACAGGCAGCACACCCAGGGGTCTTTCACTCATACATTTTAAATCACATTCAGTGACTGACTTTGAATCATCAGTGGGGTCACCCAGTCATTAGAGTGCCAGAAAATGTGAATCAGGCAGCTGCAGTCCAGATCAAAGATGACATATCATTGAGTTCCAATTTGAACACAACTCTTTGGATGCTGATAGTGAAACTCTGTGTTCTGGTTGCTTCTAAATAGTTTTCTGAAGACACCCAGGATTCTCATCATCAGAACCTCTGCCTTATATATCTCCATATTTGTTTAAATTCTCCTTGAGATTTTTAAAACATTTCAACCTGAAAGTTAACACCAAATTTGATATTGCATTCTCTTTCTTTTAAACCATGATAAACTTCTAGAAGTTGGACTCACAAAAGACTTTATTTATCCATCATCAGTGCAGACTCCTAACCCACTCCACACCTCTACTCTCTGGCTAACTGGGGACCCGAGGGTCTGTTCCCCAACTTCTCAGGACCACATACCCCTCCCGTTTCCAGTGCCCACCTCTTCTCTTCTTTCTCTCCCTTCCATCAGAAAACTCACACACACACAAATATCATCTTTTCACCCTTTGAGATTTCTTTTATTTGCAGCCATCAGCTTACTATGTTAGTGTGAGAGTCTTTTTGGTTGGCCATTGCTAACAAAGCAGACCCCTGGAGACACAATTCTAAACTGTCTGACCTTTGCTATTCATTAACTGGCTGCCAACATTGTACTTCTCCAGGGTCTCTTATTTTGGGGCGGCTGAGCTTATTTTCTCTTTGGATTCTGCCTCCTTCCATGACGTTGCCTCATATTTTGGTAGCTTTTTCAGCTTTGATTTGATTTCTTACGTCCACAGCCAGAGAAGAATCGGTTTGCTTTTCTTGTTTTCTTTGGCTTCGTCGATTGAGTGGCATACGATCGGATTTTCTTTCTGAAGGTCCCTTGTAGAGGTCTTCTGACCCTCATGGTCATATTTCGTGCCTGGAAGACAAGACAAGGGTATCAGTTTGGAGGAAAGGCCATAAAAACTGAGGTGGAAGGGAGATTTCATGAGAAAGAAATGTGAGCTAATGGGGACATTTGTGCCAGGCATGGGCAGGGTAGAGGTCTTGGGCAGCAAAGTCAATGCAGAACATGGGAAGCTTAGTTGGAATCCTCTTACCTTCACACCACGTTTGCCCCTCTTTGACAAAGGGTCTTCTTCATTCCATTCTTCCTTGAAGCAAACCGAATTGCACCTCTTCTTGACGGCCGTGGCTTCCTGGTTGCCTTAGTCATGATGGTGCCAAGAAGTGGCCTAACCCAGACTTTCAGCCTCTGACCTCCCTATTTATACCCTTTGAGGACAATGAAGAGCCACACCCTTCAATCTGATTGGTCTGTTAGGCACTGCCCCAGCCAATACTAGCTTGTGGGGCTTAGACATCACAATGCACCACTGTGACCATCAACATGGGCTAGTGGATGCTGAGGGATACCGTGATATATCTTTCCCACTGCTGACATGTCTGTGTGCCCGATTCTGGGGAGTGGTGATTCAGGGGCCTGGTGCTTCTCCTCATGACCTTAAAACTTCCTTTGCATTCCCTTTATCCTTTGACTTATATGTGCTACTTCATCCGTCATGCCTCTTTCATCCCTCTAGGTACATCTGCCAAACATTTTCTGTCCCAATACATCCCTTCAGAGTCCTCTAAGCACTTCATCTCTAGATCACCTTCTGCCTCTTGGGGATTCCTGAGGGGCTTAAGGAACTTAAGAGAAAGCACTTAAAGTGGACAAAGGTAATGAAGAGCAGGTTGGATGTTTTGTCTACTGTTGTGAGCTTCAGCGACCCCCAGACTTGGTGAATCCTCAGTCTGTTGCCCAAAGGTCAATATACAGTCTCCATAAGAGTACACATCAGAGCAAAGACAGTTTTAAATGTCTCCTCAACTAAATGTTTTGGGGACACTTCAACTCTCATATTGAGTAGGGAAACTCAACTTGCCCCATTTAGCAGAAAAAAATTCCTGACTTTTGCTTTGTACAAGAGGAAGGTGCTCAAAGTCAAGAATCAGTTCACCACTGCATCGCTGACTCTTGACCGAATCAATTCCCCAGTCACCCCTCCTTGACCGTTATCAGTAGGTAGGGCCCATTGCAGTGCTGACCAATAGCTGGGCAGGGCAAGTACCTGTAGGTAGCTCATTGATAGGTGGTTGCTTGTGGGTGGGGCCAGTGAGGCACTGACCAATGGCTGAGCAAGTCCTGTTGCCTAGTAACAGGAGGCGGAGTAATAAGGCACAGCAATGGCTACCTGGGCAGGGCTCTGCCCATGTTGCTCTGTTACATAAGAACACTTTGGGTCCAGTGTGCTGGCATCTTTTTGACTGACTCCTTTCCAACCTCAGATTTTTATTTCACATGCTTATTTAACTTTTGCCCATCATTCTTTCCGTTCTCTTATCAGGCATTCCTGTCACCAGCGCTTATCTCTATGCCCCTCCAACAGCTGCCACTTGATCACATGTTCCGCATATAGTATACATAGTTCAAAACCAACAAGAACGTGCCGGCCAGCCCACGTTGAAAACTACTTTGAGAAACCTTTACTTCACAGTGATTCCTTTTCTATTTACAGTGTAACAGAGCAGGATGAGCACAGCCCTGAAGAGGGAGCCTTTGGTGTACTCCATTTCAACCCACCCTGTTCCTAGGCAACAGGTGTTGCTCAACCATTGCTTGGTGCCTCAGAGGGCCCCATCCACAAGCAAACAATTGTAAATGAGTGACTGTTAGCTCTCCTGCTCAGCGATTGGGCAGCACTGCAGTGGGCAATGCCCGCAGGTTACTGTCAGTGAGGGACCTTTGGGGAAGCAATTAAGTCAAGGGTGGTGTGGTGGCACTCAGGGGGAGACTGAGGCAATAGGCAGAGTCAGGCCTTCTTCCGGAGGCCCTGGAGCTCATGCCGACTTGGGCCAGTGGGTGAGCTGGAGGGTCCAGGGAATAGCCTGGGGACTACATGCTGTAGCGCTCTTTTGTTCCTCTTTGCTGTCTGCCTTCAGGGTGGTGTCGCCTGCATATCTGAGGTGATTGATACTTCTCCCGGCAATCTTCCAGCTTGTGCTTCATCCAGTCTTGCATTTCTCATGATGTACTCTGCATAGAAGTTAAATAAGCAGGATGACAACATACAGCCTTAACATACCCCTTTCCCAATTTGGAACCAGTCAGATGTTTCATGTCCGGTTCTAACTCTTGCTGCTTTCCCTGCATTCAGAGTTCTCAGGAGGCATGTAAGAGGGCCTGGTATTCCCATCTCTTGAAGGATTTCCCACAATTTGTTCTGATCCACACAAGACAATGCTTGAGCTTAGTCAGGGAAGCAGATGCTTTTCTGGAATTGTCTTGCTTTTTCTATGATCCAACAGATGCTGTCCATTTGATCTCATGTTCCTCTGCCTTTTCATAGTCAAGCTTGAACATCTGGAAATTCTTGGTTCATTTATTGTTGAAGCCTAGCTTGAAGAATGCTCAGCATATTTTAGGTAGTGTGTGAGATGACCCTATCCTCATAGTCATTTCAAATCAAGCTCCTTCTTACATTAGTATGGATTTGTTTTATTTAATCCAAAAATGGCATCAATTCTTTGGTGTTATGCTTATTTCCCCCTTCACAGGTACTAATTAACTCCCTGTGTTATTTCAGGCATCGTTGTGAGTGCAAGGCGCACATCAGGAGCCAACAACCAGGACCCTGGTTTCATGGGGCATACATTCTGGTCAGTGAGGATGGAAGGTTCATACTAACCACAAATAGTCAATTATACAGAATAGCGAGAACCGTATGAGTTATGAGAAACGGGGAGTCTTTCCTTCCCAGAGGAAATTGATGGAAGGCCTTATGAATGCAGGACATTTAAGCAAAGACTTAATTAAAGAAAAGAGGGAGTGACTTTGTGGCTCTCTTGGGCAATAAAGACTGGGGAAAGGAAAAGGCCAGGGCAAAAGCCCCCAAAAGGCATTATCTATGTTCTTCCAAGAAAACAAGGAGGCTGGTGCAAGTGGGACTAGGTGAGTGAGGATGAGACTCAAAAGTGATGAGCTGCTGATGAGAGAGATCAGGGCAGGAAAAGGAGGAATGTAATGGTAAACTTATCTTTCCATTTACATGATGAATTGATTCACCAGACACAAACCACACTGGGCTGTGGTGGTAAAAGGGAGAGGCATTTGTCATAGTCTGATGGCAAGGAGGTGGGAGAGGAGTAGTTTTCAGTAAAGACACCCGAGATGAATCCTGAGCCAGCTAAAGTAGATAGATCAAGTGGAAAGCTGTGAAAATGTTTCCAGACAGTGAGGGAGAACATGCCAAGGCACCGAGACCCAAGAGGCCTGGCTATACATGCCTTGCATATGACTGGAATCTAAGGTATGATGGGGAAATTGTGAAGAAACATGGCTTTGGAGGAAGAGGGAGGAACTTGAAGCGACACTTGGGCATATGTTAAGTTAATGTCTGGGTTACCCTGCTTTGAAAGAGTATTATTAATATTTTCTAATTGTAAATATACACTCGAGGCAAACCAGTATGGAAATTGCAAAACGGAGTACAAAAATGAAATTAGAGGACACCCATAAGTGTGTCAATAGACATATATACTGTTCATATTCTGCCTTTGTTGTTCTACCTAAACCTTTATAACATATATATTATATGTGTTATATACTGTGAAATATATACATATAATACACATATATTTAGATGAGCCTATGTACATCAGTGTTTTTTTTTAAATTTATACAAATTGAATCAATCTTTATGCTATATTGTAACCTTCCTTTTCTATACCATATGCTGGGAGAATGTTTCCACCTCAACAAACATGTAACTACCAGTATTTCTGAGGATTACTGTGGTGTTCAAATGCTTGCTTATCCCATACTCCATGCAAGTGCTATGAAGACAGGAACCATGTGCATCTTGCTCACTGGTTGCTTCCATATCTCTTCTATTGTAAGGAAGGATGTAATAAACTTTGGGGTATATGTATCTCTTCAAATTAGTGTTCATTTTCTTCTGATGTTGAGCTTGGTGTGGAATAGCTGGGCCACATGGGAGATCTATTTTTAGTGTTTTTAAGAAACTCCCACATTGTTTTCCACGGTGAGTGCACATATTTACATTCCCACCAGTTATGTACAAGGGTTTCCTTGAGTCCATATCCTTGCCACCATATGTTATTTTCAGATTTTTGGCTTGATGATAGCCATTCTGACAGCTGTGAGGTGATATCTCCCAGTGATTTTCACTTCTCTTTCTCTAATTATTCGTGATGTTCAGCATTTTTCCATGTGCCTATTAACTCATACTGGAAGTACTCTTTCTAGTCTGGTTCTTTAAGTTGAAAAACTTTCAAGTTCTTGCAATCATCAATAACATGTTCCATTTTCTTGTTGAATAGTATTCTCTCGGATGGATGCACCATTTGTATATTGGTTTACCATTTGAATAACATTTGAGTTCTTGCCAGTTTGGGGCTATTATTAATAGAGCCACAGTAAACATTGGCATGAAGCATTTTATGTGAAGAGAAATTCATGTTTTACGCGGGAGTTATTTTCGGAATGGGATTACAAAGTTTTCCAGTGTGCAGATATTTATGAGCAATGAAAAACATTTCCCAAAATGTCTTTATCATTTTGCCTTCTGATGAGTCATTGAGGAGAGTTTCAGTTTCTCTCTTTTCCTGAGAGTTGTTTATGTTCTCAGTTATTTTATTTCTTTTATCCAAGATACAGTTTGCATACTTAATATGCATTCGGTACTAATTACTAATTATTTTATTTAATTTTAGGTGTTTATGAGTCACCTGTACAACGTATGTCCTATCTATGTCAAGCAATTGCTATTCAAATATTTTCCCACATTTAATTGGATTATTTGTTCTCTTACTAGTGAGTTTCAGAGCTCTTATGTATTATGGTTATAATATATTTTGTATGAATATTGATGTGTATGTGTGGGTGTTTGTGTGTATGTAAAATATATCTGTATTTGCATAACCAGCTGAAGAGAGAAAACTATTCTGTAACCTTGAAGGAATTCCCTAATACCACAGTGTTATATTCTTTGTCCATAATCCCTTATGACTACTGATTTCTTTTCCGTGTCTCTAATTTTTTCATTTTGAGAATAATATGTATGTGGAATCATAAAGTACATGTCGTTTTAAGATTGGCCTCCGTTTTACTTTGGCATGCACTTGAGATTCATCCAAGTTGTTACATGTATTAATATTTTCTTCCACATTTGATGATAAATATTACTGGTATGGTTAACTGTGTTACAGGTATGGTGGTATGGTTATGTAACTATGGTTAAACCACAGTTGAACCATTCACTCATTGAAGGACCTCTAGCCTCTCTACATTTTTAGCTATTACAAGCAAAGTTTCAATGAAAATTCATGTAAAAGCTTTTATGTTCATTTCTCTAAAATCAATATGCAGGAATAGAATTTCTGGGTCAAATGATACTTGTATGTTTATAGCATGTTGTATAATACAGTGTGAAATTGTTTTTCAGGGGAGCTGTACCATTTTATACTCTCACAAGAAATGTATGAATAATCCAGTTTCTCTGCATCCTTGCCACCTTATTGTGTGGTCATGTTTTAACAAGGTGTAGCCACTTTGACAGATAGAGAGCAGTTAGAACTCTTGATAGTTTCCCTGTGCATTTCCGTCATAGCCAATATGCTCAGCATCTTTGCCTGTGCTTCTTGGCCATTGCTGTGACTTTGTTGGCCAAGTGTTTGTTCAAGTCTTTCAATGATCTTGATCATTTTCTATTGAGTGTCTCTTTTCACCTGATGACTTTGAGATTTTTCAATAAGTGTTTTTCATTCCCAGTGAGTTTCCATGCAATTATATTTGTTGGAGTTTTGCACATGTCAAATTATTAATATTTTATGTTTATGCATTCTGACACAATGGATTTAGCCTAAATTTGAGGAACATTAGTTTCTGCATTTCTTTCTTCTAGAACTATAAGCTATTTTTACTTTTTCTATGTACGTTTGCTTTTCCATATATATGCCAATATATACATGTATAAGTTTCTCTGTGTAAGTCAGGATAGTATACAAAGGCCACATCCTATATATAGGATACATCAATAGAAAAGATTCTACTTGTTTTGCTCTTTGAGAAGGACCCTAGCTCTGAAAAATAATGTTAATAAAGAAATGCAGGGAAGTCGAGTATTGATTTATGGAATAGACAGAGTTTCTTGGTAAGACAGCCATTCAAAAGTCTATCAAGTACTGGTATGGTTGTACAGCTGAATGTAAGCACTTTATTAATCTAAAGCTTTATTTAAAAAAATTAATGTTTAGGTATGGAGCTTCTATAAATAGGAAAGTATTATCACATATTAAATTAAGAGCTTTGGGGAAATGTTCAATCAGAAAATCATGAAATATACTGACAATGTTGGTATAATTGCAGGTTGGAGCAGACATTCATGAATAATGTATAGAACTGCAGTGTTTAGAAGGTTGGGGATGAGATTTCGGAAAGGATCCATATCATTATTAGTATTGATCTATATAGAAAACTAAATTGTTCATCAGTATTTGTATCAGTGTAATTATAAATAAATTGATGTCTTCAGAAGAAAAAGTTCATGTCTACATTATATATCACAAACTAGAAATCTGTCTTCCATTTGAGCCATGCTAGCTCGTCGGAAATGAATAGTCTTTTAACGTCAAATAGAATTGAGGACCAGTAAGAAGGGAAAATATTTCATCCTTTGACTTGCTCCATCATGACTGAGGACAGATTCTGAAAGTTCTATAGAGATCACAGAAGGAGAACAAATAATTACATAATTTGCATGGAAATTCAAAATCTTTGTAGAGCCAAAGCAATGTTGTGAAAGAAGCATGGAATTGGAGGAACCAAGCTGCCTGACTTCAGGCTATACTACAAAGTTACAGTCATCAAGACAATATGGAACCAGCAGAAAGACAGAAATACAGGTCAGGAACAAAATGGAAAGCCCAGAGATAAATCCACCCACCTATGGACACCTTGTCTTTGACGGAGGAGGCAAGAGTATACAATGGAGAAAAGACAATCTCTTTAACAAGTGGTACTGGGAAAACTGGTCAGCTACTTGGAAAGAATGAGACTAGAAGACTTTCTAACCCCATGTACAAGAATAAACTCAAAACGCATTAAAGATCTAAATGTAAGACCAGAAACTATAAAACTCCTAGAGGAAAACATAGGCAAAAGACTCTTTGACATAAATGGCAGCATCGTCCTCAAGGACCCACCTCCCAGAGGAATGGAAATAAAAGCAAAAAATAAATGAATAGGACCTAATTTAACTTAAAAGCTTTTGCACAACAAAGAAAGTATAAGCAAGATGAAAAGACAGGCTTCAGAATGGGAGAAAATCATAGCAAATGAAGCAATGGACAATGAATTAATCTCAAAAATATGCAAGCAGCCCCTGAAGCTCAATTCCAGAAAAATAAATGATCCATTCAAAAAACGGGCCAAAGAACTAAACAGACAGTTCTCCAAAGAAGACATCCAGATGGCTAACAAACACATGAAAAGATGCTCAACATCACTCATTATCAAAGAAATGCAAATCAAATCCACGATGAAGGACCATCTCACGTTGGTCAGAACGGCTCCTATCAAAAAGTCTACAAAGAATAAGTGCTGGAGAGGAACAGTGTGGAGATTCCTCAGAAATTGGAAATGGAACTTCCCTACAACCCAGGAATCCCGCTGCTGGGCATACACACTAAGGAAACCAGAATTGAAAGAGACGCGAGTACCCCAATATTCATCACAGTACTGTTTATACTAGCCAGGACATGGAAGCAACCTAGATGTCCATGGGCAGACGAATGGATAAGCATCCATGCTTCACATGCACAGTGGAATATTACTCAGCTATTAAAAAGAATGCATTTGCATCAGTTCTAACGAGATGGATGAAGTGGGGGCCTATTTTAGACTGAAGGAAGTTAGAAAGAAAAACACCAATCCAGTATATTAATGCATATAAATGGAATTTAGAAAAATGATAACAATGACCCTATATGTGGGACAGCAAGAGAGACACAAAGGTAAAAACAGACTCTTGGACTCAGTGAGAGAAGGTGACAGTGGGATGATTTGAGCAAATAGCATTGAAACATGTATGTGAAACAGATTTCCACTAGAGCTTGGATGCATGAGGCAGGGTGCTCTGGGCTTTTGCGGTGGGAGGATCCTGAGGGATGGGATGGGGAGGGAGGCGAGAAGGGGGTTCAGGATGGGGAACACATGTACATCCATGGCTAGTTCATGACAAAATATGGCAAAACCACTATAATATTGTAAAGTATTTAGCCTCCAAATGAAATAAATCAATTAAAATGAAAGAACTTAAAAAAAAGAAAAACAGGCAGCACACCCAGGGGTCTTTCACTCATACATTTTAAATCACATTCAGTGACTGACTTTGAATCATCAGTGGGGTCACCCAGTCATTAGAGTGCCAGAAAATGTGAATCAGGCAGCTGCAGTCCAGATCAAAGATGACATATCATTGAGTTCCAATTTGAACACAACTCTTTGGATGCTGATAGTGAAACTCTGTGTTCTGGTTGCTTCTAAATAGTTTTCTGAAGACACCCAGGATTCTCATCATCAGAACCTCTGCCTTATATATCTCCATATTTGTTTAAATTCTCCTTGAGATTTTTAAAACATTTCAACCTGAAAGTTAACACCAAATTTGATATTGCATTCTCTTTATTTTAAACCATGATAAACTTCTAGAAGTTGGACTCACAAAAGACTTTATTTATCCATCATCAGTGCAGACTCCTAACCCACTCCACACCTCTACTCTCTGGCTAACTGGGGAACCGAGGGTCTGTTCCCCAACTTCTCAGGACCACATACCCCTCCCGTTTCCAGTGCTCACCTCTTCTCTTCTTTCTCTCCCTTCCATCAGAAAACTCACACACACACAAATAAAATCTTTTCACCCTTTGAGATTTCTTTTATTGCAGCCATCAGCTTACTATGTTAGTGTGAGAGTCTTTTTTGGTTGGCCATTGCTAACAAAGCAGACCCCTGGAGACACAATTCTAAACTGTCTGACCTTTGCTATTCATTAACTGGCTGCCAACGTTGTACTTCTCCAGGGTCTCTTATTTTGGGGCGGCTGAGCTTATTTTCTCTTTGGATTCTGCCTCCTTCCATGACGTTGCCTCATATTTTGGTAGCTTTTTCAGCTTTGATTTGATTTCTTACGTCCACAGCCAGAGAAGAATCGGTTTGCTTTTCTTGTTTTCTTTGGCTTCGTCGATTGAGTGGCATACGATCAGATTTTCTTTCTGAAGGTCCCTTGTGGAGGTCTTCTGACCCTCATGGTCATATTTCGTGCCTGGAAGACAAGACAAGGGTATCAGTTTGGAGGAAAGGACATAAAAACTGAGGTGGAAGGGAGATTTCATGAGAAAGAAATGTGAGCTAATGGGGACATTTGTGCCAGGCATGGGCAGGGTAGAGGTCTTGGGCAGCAAAGTCAAAGCAGAACATGGGAAGCTTAGTTGGAATCCTCTTACCTTCACACCACGTCTGCCCCTCCTTTGACAAAGGGTCTTCTTCATTCCATTCTTCCTTGAAGCAAACCGCATTGCAACTCTTCTTGACGGCCGTGGCTTCCTGGTTGCCTTAGTCATGATGGTGCCAAGAAGTGGCCTAACCCAGACTTTCAGCCTCTGACCTCCCTATTTATACCCTTTAAGGACAATGAAGAGCCACACCCTTCAATCGGATTGGTCTGTTAGGCACTGCCCCAGCCAATAGTAGCTTGTGGGGCTTAGACATCACAATGCACCACTGTGACCATCAACATGGGCTAGTGGATGCTGAGGGATACTGTGATATATCTTTCCCACTGCTGACATGTCTGTGTGCCTGATTCTGGGGAGTGGTGATTCAGGGGCCTGGTGCTTCTCCTCATGACCTTAAAACTTCCTTTGCGTTCCCTTTATCCTTTGACTTATATGTGCCACTTCAACCCTCATGCCTCTTTCATCCCTCTAGGAACATCTGCCAAACCTTTTCTGTCCCACTTCATCCCTTCAGAGTCCTCTAAGCACTTCATCTCTAGATCACCTTCTGCCTCTTGGGGATTCCTGAGGGGCTTAAGGAACTTAAGAGAAAGCACTTAAAGTGGACAAAGGTAATGAAGAGCAGGTTGGATGTTTTATCTACTGTTGTGAGCTTCAGCGACCCCCAGACTTGGTGAATCCTCAGTCTGTTGCCCAAAGGTCAATATACAGTCTCCATAAGAGTACACATCAGAGCAAAGACAGTTTTAAATGTCTCCTCCACTAAATGTTTTGGGGACACTTCAACTCTCATATTGAGTAGGGAAACTCAACTTGCCCCATTTAGCAGAAAAAAATTCCTGACTTTTGCTTTGTACAAGAGGAAGGTGCTCAAAGTCAAGAATCAGTTCACCACTGCATCGCTGACTCTTGACCGAATCAATTCCCCAGTCACCCCTCCTTGACCGTTATCAGTAGGTAGGGCCCATTGCAGTGCTGACCAATAGCTGGGCAGGGCAAGTACCTGTAGGTAGCTCATTGATAGGTGGTTGCTTGTGGGTGGGGCCAGTGAGGCACTGACCAAAGGCTGAGCAAGTCCTGTTGCCTAGTAACAGGAGGCGGAGTAATAAGGCACAGCAATGGCTACCTGGGCAGGGCTCTGCCCATGTTGCTCTGTTACATAAGAACACTTTGGGTCCAGTGTGCTGGCATCTTTTTGACTGACTCCTTTCCAACCTCAGATTTTTATTTCACATGCTTATTTAACTTTTGCCCATCATTCTTTCCGTTCTCTTATCAGGCATTCCTGTCACCAGCGCTTATCTCTATGCCCCTCCAACAGCTGCCACTTGATCACATGTTCCGCATATAGTATACATAGTTCAAAACCAACAAGAACGTGCCGGCCAGCCCACGTTGAAAACTACTTTGAGAAACCTTAACTTCACAGTGATTCCTTTTCTATTTACAGTGTAACAGAGCAGGATGAGCACAGCCCTGAAGAGGGAGCCTTTGGTGTACTCCATTTCAACCCACCCTGTTCCTAGGCAACAGGTGTTGCTCAACCATTGCTTGGTGCCTCAGAGGGCCCCATCCACAAGCAAACAATTGTAAATGAGTGACTGTTAGCTCTCCTGCTCAGCGATTGGGCAGCACTGCAGTGGGCAATGCCCGCAGGTTACTGTCAGTGAGGGACCTTTGGGGAAGCAATTAAGTCAAGGGTGGTGTGGTGGCACTCAGGGGGAGACTGAGGCAATAGGCAGAGTCAGGCCTTCTTCCGGAGGCCCTGGAGCTCATGCCGACTTGGGCCAGTGGGTGAGCTGGAGGGTCCAGGGAATAGCCTGGGGACTACATGCTGTAGCGCTCTTTTGTTCCTCTTTGCTGTCTGCCTTCAGGGTGGTGTCGCCTGCATATCTGAGGTGATTGATACTTCTCCCGGCAATCTTCCAGCTTGTGCTTCATCCAGTCTTGCATTTCTCATGATGTACTCTGCATAGAAGTTAAATAAGCAGGATGACAACATACAGCCTTAACATACCCCTTTCCCAATTTGGAACCAGTCAGATGTTTCATGTCCGGTTCTAACTCTTGCTGCTTTCCCTGCATTCAGAGTTCTCAGGAGGCATGTAAGAGGGCCTGGTATTCCCATCTCTTGAAGGATTTCCCACAATTTGTTCTGATCCACACAAGACAATGCTTGAGCTTAGTCAGGGAAGCAGATGCTTTTCTGGAATTGTCTTGCTTTTTCTATGATCCAACAGATGCTGTCCATTTGATCTCATGTTCCTCTGCCTTTTCATAGTCAAGCTTGAACATCTGGAAATTCTTGGTTCATTTATTGTTGAAGCCTAGCTTGAAGAATGCTCAGCATATTTTAGGTAGTGTGTGAGATGACCCTATCCTCATAGTCATTTCAAATCAAGCTCCTTCTTACATTAGTATGGATTTGTTTTATTTAATTGCAAAAATGGCATCAATTCTTTGGTGTTATGCTTATTTCCCCCTTCACAGGTACTAATTAACTCCCTGTGTTATTTCAGGCATCGTTGTGAGTGCAAGGCGCACATCAGGAGCCAACAACCAGGACCCTGGTTTCATGGGGCATACATTCTGGTCAGTGAGGATGGAAGGTTCATACTAACCACAAATAGTCAATTATACAGAATAGCGAGAACCGTATGAGTTATGAGAAACGGGGAGTCTTTCCTTCCCAGAGGAAATTGATGGAAGGCCTTATGAATGCAGGACATTTAAGCAAAGACTTAATTAAAGAAAAGAGGGAGTGACTTTGTGGCTCTCTTGGGCAATAAAGACTGGGGAAAGGAAAAGGCCCGGGCAAAAGCCCCCAAAATGCATTATCTATGTTCTTCCAAGAAAACAAGGAGGCTGGTGCAAGTGGGACTAGGTGAGTGAGGATGAGACTCAAAAGTGATGAGCTGCTGATGAGAGAGATCAGGGCAGGAAAAGGAGGAATGTAATGGTAAACTTATCTTTCCATTTACATGATGAATTGATTCACCAGACACAAACCACACTGGGCTGTGGTGGTAAAAGGGAGAGGCATTTGTCATAGTCTGATGGCAAGGAGGTGGGAGAGGAGTACATTTCAGTAAAGACACCCGAGATGAATCCTGAGCCAGCTAAAGTAGATAGATCAAGTGGAAAGCTGTGAAAATGTTTCCAGACAGTGAGGGAGAACATGCCAAGGCACCGAGACCCAAGAGGCCTGGCTATACATGCCTTGCATATGACTGGAATCTAAGGTATGATGGGGAAATTGTGAAGAAACATGGCTTTGGAGGAAGAGGGAGGAACTTGAAGCGACACTTGGGCATATGTTAAGTTAATGTCTGGGTTACCCTGCTTTGAAAGAGTATTATTAATATTTTCTAATTGTAAATATACACTCGAGGCAAACCAGTATGGAAATTGCAAAACGGAGTACAAAAATGAAATTAGAGGACACCCATAAGTGTGTCAATAGACATATATACTGTTCATATTCTGCCTTTGTTGTTCTACCTAAACCTTTATAACATATATATTATATGTGTTATATACTGTGAAATATATACATATAATACACATATATTTAGATGAGCCTATGTACATCAGTGTTTTTTTTTAAATTTATACAAATTGAATCAATCTTTATGCTATATTGTAACCTTCCTTTTCTATACCATATGCTGGGAGAATGTTTCCACCTCAACAAACATGTAACTACCAGTATTTCTGAGGATTACTGTGGTGTTCAAATGCTTGCTTATCCCATACTCCATGCAAGTGCTATGAAGACAGGAACCATGTGCATCTTGCTCACTGGTTGCTTCCATATCTCTTCTATTGTAAGGAAGGATGTAATAAACTTTGGGGTATATGTATCTCTTCAAATTAGTGTTCATTTTCTTCTGATGTTGAGCTTGGTGTGGAATAGCTGGGCCACATGGGAGATCTATTTTTAGTGTTTTTAAGAAACTCCCACATTGTTTTCCACGGTGAGTGCACATATTTACATTCCCACCAGTTATGTACAAGGGTTTCCTTGAGTCCATATCCTTGCCACCATATGTTATTTTCAGATTTTTGGCTTGATGATAGCCATTCTGACAGCTGTGAGGTGATATCTCCCAGTGATTTTCACTTCTCTTTCTCTAATTATTCGTGATGTTCAGCATTTTTCCATGTGCCTATTAACTCATACTGGAAGTACTCTTTCTAGTCTGGTTCTTTAAGTTGAAAAACTTTCAAGTTCTTGCAATCATCAATAACATGTTCCATTTTCTTGTTGAATAGTATTCTCTCGGATGGATGCACCATTTGTATGTTGGTTTACCATTTGAATAACATTTGAGTTCTTGCCAGTTTGGGGCTATTATTAATAGAGCCACAGTAAACATTGGCATGAAGCGTTTTATGTGAAGAGAAATTCATGTTTTACGCGGGAGTTATTTTCGGAATGGGGTTACAAAGTTTTCCAGTGTGCAGATATTTATGAGCAATGAAAAACATTTCCCAAAATGTCTTTATCATTTTGCCTTCTGATGAGTCATTGAGGAGAGTTTCAGTTTCTCTCTTTTCCTGAGAGTTGTTTATGTTCTCAGTTATTTTATTTCTTTTATCCAAGATACAGTTTGCATACTTAATATGCATTCGGTACTAATTACTAATTATTTTATTTAATTTTAGGTGTTTATGAGTCACCTGTACAACGTATGTCCTATCTATGTCAAGCAATTGCTATTCAAATATTTTCCCACATTTAATTGGATTATTTGTTCTCTTACTAGTGAGTTTCAGAGCTCTTATGTATTATGGTTATAATATATTTTGTATGAATATTGATGTGTATGTGTGGGTGTTTGTGTGTATGTAAAATATATCTGTATTTGCATAACCAGCTGAAGAGAGAAAACTATTCTGTAACCTTGAAGGAATTCCCTAATACCACAGTGTTATATTCTTTGTCCATAATCCCTTATGACTACTGATTTCTTTTCCGTGTCTCTAATTTTTTCATTTTGAGAATAATATGTATGTGGAATCATAAAGTACATGTCGTTTTAAGATTGGCCTCCGTT